CCCCCACCCCCCCACAAACCCAAAGTAGCTACAGCTCCGCTCTCACCCTACGCGAGGCGAAAAGCAAATGACGCAAAACCACACGAAGCACCGAGGGGCGGAGCCAACCTGCCGCCGCCGACTCCCGCATGCGCTGGGAAAACTATCGCGATATTACGTTTTAGCCTCAGTGAAACCTACGAAATTCACCGCAGGATTCCGCCCGCGCCTCGCCTTTAGAAACACGAGATCTCGCGAGAGGTAGTGCAGGCTCCTAAAAAGGAGAGAGGCGGGGGGTCATGAAAATGACTGGGAGTTTTTCCGGAGAAGGGAGGAACCTCCCGTCCTGCAGGGATCTGGCCTACCACGAGGTTTCCGACCCACTGCGGAGCTGGCTGCCAAATCTCGCGATGACACAGCTCAGCGCCAAATCTCGGCCATGTCCTGAAAACTGCCTCCGCCCCCGATCTAGGTGTCTAGAGCCTAGTGCTTGAGGAAAATTTAAAAAGTCAACCTGTTTATTTTCACGCTTCCAAACAGGGCTGTATCAATAAGTTAAATTCCATTCTGGAAAGGATGCAACGGGTACCCCATTGTTACCTGCCTCCAAGAATAGCCTGTTATCCTGGATTAACACATAAAACACGTTCAATCTCACAATAAGCACGCAAATGCAAACAATGACATAACATTTTTTGCCCATTACATCGGAAAAAAAATTAAAAGCCTATAATATCCGACTCTTTTCCTCGCCACAATGCAGGCTAGCTTGAATCCATCTTAATCTAACTAAAGGCTCATATCGTTAGTTTTAGCTCCAAAGTCACCTATTTTAACTACTGAGGCTATACCTTGGCATAACCAAAAAAGATCCAATAAAGTGGCTTCCTCTTAACAAAGGAGTCTGTCCTCAAAGGAAAATTCAAGCTTGGGTAGGGGGAGTGTGAGTGCTTGAAGCTTTTAATATGGCAGTTTTTCCATGTCTAGCCAACAATGTCTTTTCAATAAATCTCGGGATCCTATCTGGCTCACGTGAGTTTTTGCATTCTAATGCACTGTTCTGTCCATTCTAATTTAAATATTGTTCTTTCAGAGTATATTTTAATAGTGGTACAAA